CAATTATGTTCTAAATTATGCGTAATATTGTAAATTAAATTTGTTTATGTATGAATTTTCAACTAAACTGTTAAATATTTTTCATGAAAACTCATTAGTTTAATTAGATTCAAATAAGTTTTGTTTTAATACATTTATTTCCATGTTTTCTATGAATTTCTTTATATAATTGTAATTAGTACTTAATAATACAAATTTATTACGTATTTTTTTTATTAAATTTCAACTAAACTGTTAACTATTTCTCATGAAAATTAATTACTTTAATTAAATTAAATATTGTACATTTTTTTTCATTAATTTTGTTAATTACAAACAAATCAAGCACAAAATAATGTCTTACTAAAAATAATTACTTTAATGAATCCAAATAAGATTCAAATAAGTCTTATTTTACTAAATTTATTTCCATTTTTTATAAATTTATATATATAATTGTAATTATTAATTAATATTAAAAATATATTACGTTTTTTTTATTAAATTTCTACTAAACTGTTAACTATTTCTCATGAAAATTGATTACTGTAATTAAATTAAATAATACATTTTTTTCATAAATTTTGTTAATTACAATCAAATCATTCACAAACAAACAAATCATTCACAAAATAATGTCTTACTGAAAGTCATTACTTTAATGAATCCAAATAAGATTCAAATAAGTCTTATTTTACTAAATTTATTTCCATTTTTTATAAATTTATATATATAATTGTAATTATTAATTAATATTAAAAATATATTACGTCCTTTTTATTAAATTTCTACTAAACTGTTAACTATTTCTCATGAAAATTGATTACTTTAATTAAATAATACATTTTTTTCATTAATTTTGTTAATTACAATCAAATCATTCACAAAATAATGTCTTACTGAATGTAAGAAAGTAAGTAATTAGTTTTATGAACACAAATAAGATTCAAATAAGTTTTATTTTACTGAATTTACTTCCATTTTTTATGAATTTATATTCAACTAAACTATTATTTATTTCTCATGAAAATTAATTTACAATCTTATTTCTGCGAACATTAATTAAATCTAATGACGGTAGACATTTTGCTTTTTGATAAACTTCCCAATGGAATTTTTACCATTATATTCTTCTGTAAGTTGTTGATTCGCTGCTAGGTTAACTTCAGTAGTATATTGATGCTCTGCGATTCCACTATTCCCTTTGTCTGTGTATCTACTACTATCCTTAACACTGTCATTGTCCATCAACTTGGCTGAAGATCCATATTGAAGATCCGAGAGGGCTCACAAAGGGCCTTGCTTGACCAGGATTCGAACCGGCCCCCACTGAGTAGGACATGAGTAGGGCGACTTATCTATTTTGCTATTAGTAATTACTTAAATTAAATAAAATATTGTAGTATTTTGTTCATTAATTCTGATAATTACAATCAAATCATTAGTACAAAATCAATACTTTCGTTATACAATCAAGAAAATTGAAGAAGTTTTTCACCCTTACAAAATTCAAGTATTTATGCGTTTTATCAAATATTAATAATTAATAATAACGTAAAGTAATTTACGTCGACGATTACTGACGTAGAGAAGATTTTCGGTTGGGATTTATCAATATTTAATTTGCGACGTCCGCGTTTCGCGACGTAAGATTTCTGTTTTATTTCAACCCTAAAACCAACCACCACCAGCACCGACAGAATTAATAAATATTCATGGTTGAAGGGAGGTTTGTTCGAATCTCGCAAAAGGAATGCGAGGTAAAATTATATTTAATGGGACATTCAACTCGGTTTTGAAACACATAAAGAGAGAGAGAAGGAAGGGTGCTTGTTTCTCGAAACATAAATGATACATCCAAAAATTGAATTAAACATTCAAGAAAGGAAATTCGTTCTCTCTCATTTGCCGAGTCGGAAGCCATTCATCACTGGGAAAACAATTTTCGCATCGAGGAAACACGTGAAATTTTAATAACAATATTCCTTCAAGAATCGTTACTTGTGTATACTAGTATTTCGTTACCTAATATTTCTGTCTTTACTCGCCTCGTCAAAGTTACCTTGTTATTCCAAACCTCTTCCTCTTTCTCCTATAGAAAGAAATATATATATACTTCATGAAGCGTTTTTAAAAATTTAGCCCTTTTAGCGGAGATAGGAAAAAACTGCGAGAGTGGCGGTTCTTGACACGTATGTCTGGCGGCAGGACATGCCTCCCTTTCCCGTCTCCCTCCCCCCACATGTGATTCCACCCACTAACTCACCCCTCCAGCCCCATCGATCGAGTGTGCTATGTGCGTGCGGGGGGGTTGTTCTGACCTCTTGATAGCCCCTTTGACAACGTGCCGGTCCTGGCTTCCGACAAATGTTGCGATTGTTTATTACACCCAGAAACGCCGCCCCCGCCTGACAACAAATTGGTTCCCTTTTTTTTACGACTCTCTCCGGTCCAAACGAGTGTGGTGGAAAGAGAGAGAGAGAGAAAAAAATGAAAAGAGAGAAGAACGTAGAAGAAAAAACAAAGCTCACCCAGTTTTCTGTTTATTTAGCGCATTACGAATTAGCTTCACTCTCATGTGAAATTCATTTCCTCCCGTCTATTTGTTCATCTCGAGCGGATCTACTGGCTGGTTGCTATGTACCACTTTCCCGGCGAAGCCATTCAAACCAATATTTGTTTCGGAATTATCGAATGATATTCAAAGTATGCGGAATATCACTTTCATTATCTCAAATATACATTTAATAAAGTTCAAATTTACAGTTACAACCTTAATATTATATAATTTTAGTACTAATAAGATATATTTCTTACTTTTTGTATCTAATTATTTGTTTATTAGAAAAACTATACATATTTTTGTTTAATTATTTCAATTGAAATTCTATTGATCATTACTAAAATTTAAATAATTCTAATTTAATATTGAAAATACAACAGTTTCAATATTAAATTAGAAATAAATGCGAAATATATTGAATGTAACTGAATACTATAAAATGTACTTTACTACAGATTTTCCATTTTCTTTTGATATTCCAGATGATATTGTATATTAAGGAATGAAAAATAAATTATATAATTTTGATTATAAAATTATTGAACAATTGTTAAAAATGTGTAATTTCTAGTTCTTACTAGTAATTAGTTCAATTTCAAAATAATCTTATAAATTTGTTGATTTTTGTTTTGTAATTTCATTCGTATTTATGTAATTCACAGAAATATTTCCATTTCAGAATTATCACTTTCATTATATCAACTATACATTTAATAAAATTACAATCTATACTTATTTTAGAAATTATTACGTAAATGTATTACAATTTTTATATTATAGCTTGAATCTTATAGTTTCAGTACTAATAAACAATATTTCTTTCTTTACTTTCAACAAAATTGTCGACAATTTTTAATTTAAAATTTTGATTTATCTAAGAAATTTAAATAAAACTTATATAATTTTGAAAATTTTGAATCTAGGAAAAAAGTGTTTAGTTTAATTAACTAAAAGGTATTTTCAATTAAACTATATAAATTAGTAAAGTGCAGATCGAAGGTGAAATCTTGTTAATTCCAAAAATCATGTATAAATAAATCTTGAACTTGACTAAATTCTCTCCAATTGCATTTGACATTCAAGAATCTAGACGATCTTGTACATTATAACTTTTATCTTACCTTTGCATAAAGGAAATAGCACAAAAACATTATAATTGTAGGAACTACGAAGATTAAAATGAAATAAATCGACAGTAATTATAAATAATGTTCTATAAACTAAATATTATTAACATAATAATTAAAGTAAAAACAGTTTTATATTATTAAAGTTCAAAACATTTCTATTATTATTAATTAAACTCAATTTTTCATGCTCTTTTTGATTTATTAATTTTTTTTATCTTAATGCATGTAATAGTATTTTTTTCAATCAAAATCACACTCTTACATAATTTTATAATAATGAAAAAATGCACGAATTTAAATAAATTAACGTTTTCTTTGATTATAAATTGAAATTAAAATAAAACGAAAACATTAATTTTTTGATCTTAATTTTGTATATAATAATTAAGATTATTGTATCAAAATTATCTCATTAGTTACACTCTTACATAATTCAGTAATAACACTTTAAAATGAACAAAAAATGATCGTATTTAGTTAAATAAATCGACATTTCTATTAATTTTTAATTGAAATTAAAACTAAATGAAAATATCTTTTTTTTATTGTGCAAAATATTTAAAATTTTTATACCAAAAAAATTTCACGTATTTTGTGAAAAAAATGACGTTTCCTGTATTTTTTTAAAATTGAAATTAAGACTAAGTTTTTTTGTTTGTAAAAAAAATCTCATTAGTTTCATTTTTACATATTTCTATACCAATACATTAAAATGAGAAAAATGCGCGTATTTACTTATATAAACCGACATTTTCTAATTCTAAATGAAAAATCAAATCTAATAATTGCAATTATTGTATAAATATCAAATTTTCTAATGAAAAAAATGTTGAATTTTAAATTGCAAATGTATTATGTAACTTTCATGCATAATTATAAAATTAGGCATTAAATGATAAAGATATAAATAAATAAATAAAGTACGTTCGTATTTATTGCACAAATTAGGGAAATCATTGGCCCTTTTTTTTCACGTACACGCTTATTTATTCGTCGCGCAAAACCGCCCCCCATTTGAGATAGCGTCGCGACGCGTTTCGCTGCGGTGCGGGTCATTTTGGGGGGTCGCAACGTGTGTTTTTTTTTCATCCATCCCCCCGTTATCTAAATTAGTGCAGGAGGGGGGGTGAAGGTTGAAGGGGTTTTACGCCGGAGGCTTATTAATGCAATTTTATCTTCGTTGTCCACCCTTTTTGTAGACATAATTAGAACCACTATCCCCGACTATTAATAGCATCTTGGATTCCGTTGCGCATGGCGCTAGGGGGCGGCTGGAAGCGGCGCGTCGACTTCCCGCGGCCCAACAAACTTCATCAGTTGCCGGCGTCGCGACGCACCAACCGGTTCATACATCCGACGTGAATCCCGTCTGCAACGCGAACGAACACGTGAAGTGCGCAATTTGTACAACGACGAGTGTTTTTAAAGAGAATTGAAAAGAAAAGAAACTATATGGTGAATTTGCAACAGTGTTGATTAATCATCAAAGAAACAGTGTCAACAATTGCAACAAATACCTGGTAATGTTGCTTGCCTCCCCATGATACACCAGTGATTAGAACTTCCATTGACTTTAACGAAACTAGCCTTGGCATCATTGGCACCGCAATCATTCCATTAATTCATCGCGCCCTGTCTCTATTATGTAAAACGTACGAACCGCCGCACAAATCTTCCGCTCGATCAATAATCCAAAAACATAATTAAAACAACTCCGATGGGAAATATAGTTTAATCAACAATTTACATAATGCATCAATTCACAATCCTTACAGTTATATTTTATTCAAAAACGTTTCAAATCGGATCATTTCAAGTGAAATTTCACTCAATACTTAAATTCACTTTTGTACCAATTTTATAGAGAAAAGAGTGAGTCTTATAATTTGAAATTTTTACCATCTCGAAAACTAACTCCTCTCTCAATTTAAAATATACACATTTTTAGTATTCAATCACAAATTACGCAATATATGAATTCACTTTTGTCCCGAAAACTACTTTTTGTCCCTTCTTCAGTTGAAATTTACACATTTTTTAGTTTCCTCAATCACAAATTACTTAAAACTTGAATTCACTTTATCACAATTCCTTCATAGTTTGAAATTTTTACTATTTCGAAGAAGTGAATTGGTTTCCTTTTTCTTTCTTCGTTCAAAATTTACACATTTTTTAGTATCCTCAATCAAAAGTTACTCAATACTTTAATTCACTCTTGTCCCAATTTTAAAGAGAAAAAAAAAATGTCTTTCACAACTTGAAATTTTCACTATGTCAGAAAACGAATTCACTTTTTTTCCTTTATTCAGTTAAAATGTATACATTTTTTAGTATCTTCAATCACAAATTACTCAATACTTGAATTCATTTCTTTCCCAATTTTAAAGACAAAAAAATCTTTATTAATTTGAAATTTTCATCACCAATTTACACATTTTTACAATTTCTTTTTATATTTAAAATCTTCTTAAAATTAAAAAAATCTATATTTTCAAAACGAATTATTTTAACGGAAATTTCACTTAGTATTTGAATTCACTTTTGTCCCAATTTGAAAGAGAAATAAAGTGTTTTTCATAATTTTAAATGTTTACCATCTCAAAAACTAATTCACTTCTTTTCCCTTCTTCAGTTAAAATTTACGCATTTTTTAGTATTTTCAATCACAAATTACTCAATACTTGAATTCACTTCTTTCCCAATTTTAAACAGATAAAAATACTTCTTAATATCAAATTTTCATCAAAGTGACAACGAATTTATGTAATTATTTTTCTTAATTTGAAATTTACACAACTTTTCCAGATCTTCAATCACCTATTATTCAATACACAAATTCACTTGTTTCCTACTTTTAAATAGAAAAAAAATCTATTTTTATAATCTTTTTGAATTTGAAATTTTCACTAAATCTCCAAATAAATTCACTACTTTCTTCAATTTTTAGATAAAGTTTCCTTTTTAATTCGTAATTTTCACCATATCGAAAACAAATCACGCGGATGTAAAGTTTTTTTCTCACCCTGCACATAAATATTGGATAACTTAAAGTTGTTTCCTTCTCAAGCTCCCAAGTCAAATAAAATTGTTTGGAAAGCTTTAAAATATAACACCGGACCAAACTGAAAAAAAAAACAACAACTATAGAATCGATAGTGTATATACTCTCACACCTATTTCCGCGCTGCCCCATATTTTCGCTCTATTTCATTGCCAATTTTATCCGAATTAAAACTACCTTTGTTTCCGGGTATTTTCATTAATTCATGATTGGACCATATTTATTGGTCCATGTAGAGAGATATGGATAATAAATGTGGTTTTCATTACACATCAAAAATCAAATTTTACTGCTTTAATTGTAATTTGAATTCATCGAAATATATCAATTTGAAAATTTAAAAAAAATGTTTAAATATACATCAATTAGTTTAAAGTCATTGAAATAGCAATACGAAAAGTAAGTTGAAATAAAAATAATGCTAAAAAAATACATTACATAAGTACTTTAAAGTGTGGTATTATTAATAATTTTATGTTTAGTTAAAAAAATGATTGTAAAATTTTTCAAACACAAAACTTTTATAAAGTAATGAAAATATTGATTCAATTTATATTAGAAACAAACATAAAAATATAGACAAAGTAGTCAAAAATCTGTGTAAGAGATAGAATTTTATAAAAATTTACTAAATTTATATAAAATTTTATAGAAAATACAAAATATTTTTCTAAATAAAAATTAACAGATTTTACACAAATTTGGTAAACTTGTATTATTTAATAGAGAATTAAGTGGTAAATATTATATAAAATTGAAAATACACAAAAAAGTAATGTAAATTTGTAGATATAATTTTATTTTTGAGTTTTTCTTTGAAAAATTCTACTCGAATTTTGATGAAATTACCAAATTATTTATTGAATTCATTAAAAATTAGACTTTAATTATAAAAATTGAATAATATTTCGTTAAAACTAAATCATTTAACTGATTAATTAAGAATTTGTGTATGAAACAGTGGACGATATTAATTAAATTCGATTAGTTAAATTAGTGTGATTTGGAAAATGTCTCGTGTTAAAATTATTGTGTTACCATTTCGAAACGGCTTAGTTGCAGTTAAAATTTATGGAAAATGTTTAAACGAGCAGTGAAGCCGTACAGAAACATTAATCATACTCGAAACAAAAGTTTCCGAATCAATGCTATTGCGATTTGAGAAAGTTATTGCTCCACGAAGATGATAAGATTTACGATTAGAAGAGTAGAAGGAGGAAGGAGAGAGAGAGGGCTTTCATTAAAACGCGATTCGCTTTATATAAATATTACGTAATTGTGATTAATGAACACTTTTACCCCCATACACACACTATATAAGTAGTTAAGAAACTGCATGCAAATTCGGTCCGCAATTTCATATCTTTAAGACCCATTTACTTCAACCTCTTAAAAGACATTAATTACCTGCGCCTTCAATCAGTACAAATTTTGTATTTAAAAAATTGAGCAAACTACGAATAAATTCTAAAAAAATAACACACAAGTTTCTTTTTGTACGGTTTATTTGTTTAAGTCCGGCTTCAAACAGTACGGTTTATTGGCAAAATCATTTACCCGGACTTTCTAGGACTTTCTTGCGTATAACTGGAATTCAATAAAATACTCAAAATTAGGGAAAAAATGTCCTCGATTAGTGCGATTTTAAATAGTAAAAGAAATTAGCCTGACAATGCGAGGTATTACTGTATAATCATAGAGCAATGGTGCGTACACATTACTTCCAAAAAAATTTAAATATGAAACTTGACAAGTTACAAGTAAATTACGATTTTTTGTAATATACCACATTAAATACATATATAATAAGCACAATTAGCAAAAGAAAATTTCCTTGATTAGTACGGTATAAAACAGTACAAGATATTGACCAAATCGATTACTAGGACTATGCGAGGTATTACTGTATTTTTATCCAATAATGGTAGGTACACACTTATTCCGTTGAAAGTAAACTATCAAAGTTGACAAGTTACTTGAAAGTACCCATTTCTTCTACTCTACCTAATTATATGCGTGTAACATGAATTAAATAAAATAAGCGAATTTAAAGAAAGAAAAAGTACTCGATTAGTCCGGTTTTAAACTGTCAAAATATGTTTCGGATGTGATTAATCGGACTATCCGAGGCATTTTCATCCAATAATGGTGCGTACACGCTAATTTCTCTGAAAGTAAAATATGTCAATTGACAAGTTATTTATAAAGTACGCATTACTGATATACCTAATAATATGTAACATGACTTAAATAAAATTAGCATAATTAAGGAAAGAAAAAGACCTCGATTAGTCCGATTTTCGACAGTCGAGATATTGTCGAATGCAATTAACCGGACTATCCGAGGTATTTTCTTCGAATAATGGTGCGTACACGCTAATTTGTTCGAAAGTAAAATATGTCACTTGACAAGTTACTTGTTAAGTATGCATTTCTAATACACCGAATTATATGTAACTTGAATTAAATAAAATTTGCATAATTAAGGAAAGAAAAAGACCTCGATTAGTCCGGTTTTAAATAGTAATAGAAATTGGCTACAGCAATTTCCCAGAGTATGGAAAATATTGATGAATTTTCATTAAAATAATGGTGAGTACAAACTAATATCTTTAAAAGAAAAATATATCACTTAACAAGTTACTTGTAAAGTACGCATTTCTAATATGAATTAAATAAAATTACCATAATTAAGGATAGAAAAAGACCTCGATTAGTCCGGTTTTAAACAGTAAGAACATTGGTTACAGCAATTACCCAGAGTATGGGAAGTATTGATGAATTTTCATTAAAATAATGGTGCGCATACACTAATTTCTCAAAAAGAGAAATATGAAATTTGAGAGGTTATTTGAAAAATACAATTTTTTTCCAATATACTCTTTCTGTGCGTATAACAGAAATTAAATAAATTAAGCAAAACATAAAGACAGATTAGTCTGACAGTCAAGATATTGGCGGATGCGATTAACCGGACTAATCGAAAGAAATATGAAATTTGACAAGTTATTTCAAAAGTAGACATTTTTTAAGCAACATTATGGATAGATAAAGTACTCGATTAGTCCGGTTTCAAACAATACAAGGTATTGGCGAAAGCAATTATTCGGATTATGCGGGGTATTGCTATATAGTCATCAACTACTGGTGCGCACACACTACTACCGCTGAATGTAAAATATAAAACTTGACAAATTACTTGCAAAGTACGCATTTTTCTGTAAAAAACCTTATTATAAGCGATTAACCGGACTATCCCAGGCATTTTCATCCAATAAATGTGCGTAGACAGTTGAGCGTAGTGCGTAGTGCGTTGAAAGTAAAATATGACACTTGTCAAGTTACTTGTAAAGTAAGAATTTTTACTAATATACCTCATTATATCAAAAATTAAATAAACTAACCAAAATTACAGAAAGAAAGTCAATAATTGAAGAAAGCGTTTATGAAAAAAATAAG